CAACCCAAATCTTTTTGGTAAAAGTTCCCATTCTAAATCAGATAGACATGACTACGACCACCACATCGCATGTGCACTTCAAAATGAACAACTTACACTATACAAACATAAAATGTACTAATACAGAGGATATATAAGAAACACAGATATGAAGAGAATTAAGGCAGAAGGGAATTGGAAACTAACTTTTTCTTGTCAATGTCGGGAATGTTGCTCTTTGCAGCCTTCTCCACAATCACCTGCATGGAGACTCAAATTAGAACAGAGCATCCCCTGTAAACATATTTGATCCAGTAAAATTCTTACCGGTATTCTGTCAGGATACTTCTCCCTGATACGACCAGCTTCTGCTTGTCTCCTTTCTGAAATAGTTTAGTCCAAACCATCAGAGCAGAAACATATGAAAAACAAAAGTTTGAAAAAAGACAACAAAAAACTAAGGGCCCGTTTGATAACCATTTCAATTTTAGTTTTTAGTTTTCATTTTTTGTGTTATAGTATAGAGAAAATGAGAGTGAGAATGAGAGTGAGGATGAGAGTGAGGATGAAAGGAGATGGGTGGGAGTAGTAAAAAAAGTGAAAACAAAAACTTGAAAGTGAAAACAATTTCAATTTTTAGTTTTTGTTACTTCTCCATCCCATCCCCCTCTCAATCTCATTCTCGCTTTCATTATCCGTCAATTTCCTCTATAATCTAGCACAAAAAATGAAAACTAAAAACTAGAATTGAAATGGTTATCAAAGGGGCCCTAATTATTCCAAAAAATTAAACAGACAATCTTTTCACAAAGAAGAAAAACAAAAAATTCAGCCTTTAGCAAAAAAAAGTTGGACTATTTAGAATCCCAAGACTTAATTCCATCTAGCAAACAAGCAATGGATAATACCAAAATTTAAATAATACCAAACACAAGCAATGGATAAAAAGCCGAACTTTTGTTTATCAAAAGAAAAAGGGAAAAAAAGCGAACTTTATCTGCAAAACAGCCTCCATTATTCAGGTTCATTAAGTAGACATCAAAGACTACCACCACATACTAAAAGAAACCAACCAAAATAGGGGGATATGTGTATTGCACAAATAACATAATTAACCAAAAGCTAAAAAACAAACCCAGAGAATGGTCAAGCTTGAACGAGTTTTTGTCCATGGCGAAACTCCCACTGCGATTGTTCTCTGCAAATTTCAAACAACGAAACATCACAACCGCACCGCACAAAAAGTCCCTCTTACCCAAAAATTGTATAACAAGAGCAAACACAAGTATGATAAGAAAACGATTGAGAATTATGTTTTACACGAAAGAAAAAAACATACCAAACACGAAAGGGGAATCGATTATGGTTTTGGGGATTGATGAATTGATTGGTTGAGGACTGGGAAAAGAAGAGAGAGGGTCAAAATCAAACAGAGAAGGACAGAATTATTGGAGGCAACGAATGGTATATATATATACACAATATATAAATTAAGGGTTTAGTATCGGGGAAGAGACTTGTTGGAGGTTCCTTTCCGATTCGAACACGAAATCCATACTTGTAGTCTTCTCTATCTATATCTCTTCTTGATTCGGCGTGTCGCAGGCAAACTCTCTCTGGGTCCGTCCGAGTCACCAAAGCGACGCCGTTTACACTTGTAACTTATATAACTATTTTCCTAAAATCTTGATTTTTATTTTTAAAAAAGGAAAAAAATTCGGAAATTTCGTTGAGAATCAGTAAATATGATAATTAATATTCTTGCTGACCAAGTTATGTACACGTGTTAAGTTTTAGCGTACCAAATTTAGTGAACATATGATTCCTTCCTATCCCTCGCAACCAATCAATTCTTTCCCCAAAAAATTGAAACTTACATAACAATTCTTCAATCCCCTAAACCCTCTTACTTTTTCGTGACATACTTTAGCCACGCTTATTTGCAGAGAAGAGTCAGAGGTTGGAATTGCGACATGGCAGAAAGCTCTCTCAAGAACGAATGTTGTCAGGGTTTGTTTTTTGTTTGCTTTGGTTCAATATGTTTGGATGTTTCATTCTATTTGGTGTGAATTATTGTATTTAACTTTTTCCGTTTGATGGAATAATACTCTAGGGTTCTAAAACGTCGACCTTTTTTTCTGGCAGAATCTTTCTTTTCATGCAAAATGCTGCGGTTGATGGTGATTATGGTTTGTTTTTGTTTAACGTTTCTTTCTCATCTGTTTTCTTGTGCTGGTTTTGGACAATTCAGATATTTTAGAAAGGATGCAAACAGTAGAGATCAATTCAGATCCTGCACCAGTAAGAATTTCACTGAATCAGCTAGATATGTTCACTTCCTCTAGGCAGGCATTAAGTGGAAATTTTATGTTCTAAATTTGAGTCTTTATGCAGATGGTTGTGAAGAATGCTGCCGCTGCTGCTTCCCTGCGTGTCATTCCTGACATTAATAAGAAGAAGAAGTTTGCTACCAATTCCTCTTGTGCTTTAATTCTCTTGATTCGTATTGCCACAATAATGGAACAAGAATATTGTTCGCCCTTTCATTTATTTATTTTTTATGTTCAGGAAACCGACAATAGAAATATCTCCGGTTAGAGCTAGACTTTTAGACTATTGGAATATGAGGCGCGTGGGGAAGCATGCGGTGAGAATTTCATTGAATTAAGTAGTTTTACTGCCTATGGCTATGTCATTCAGTGGAAATACATACTCTGTTCTAACTTGAGCCTCATGCATCTGATTGTGCAGAAGGCTGCAAGCAGTGAAATTCCTGGCTCTGATGGGAGGAAGTTAGTTGCAATTCCCGTGTGGTTTGATTATCTTTCTTTTTTTTTGGGTACGGCTACAGTGGAATAGGATTATATCTTTTTCGCTTATGCTTTTGATTTGTGTTCAGGGATCTGAGGGCTAGTACTGAAAAACATATAGACCCTTGGCTTTTGAGGGTGACGGACCCAGATTGTGTACCAGTAAGAATTTCACTGCATTAAATATGTTTACTTTGTATGGATGCATTCGATGGTTATACTTTGTTTTAATTTGAGCTTCCGTGCAGGTGGCTGTGGAGAAGGATGCAAGGAGTGATATTGCTGAGATTGACGTGAAGAAGTTAGTTGCCAATTCAATTCCCTTGTACTTTAAGTATATCTTGATTTGATTTATTGCTAACATACCATGGAATAGAAATGTTCTCTTTTTGTTTGTTCTGTTGATATATATATATATATATATATATATATATATGTTCAGAAACAATTCAGGAAAAACAGAAGATGTATATATGCTGTTGTGTTTTTGTTGCAAATAAAGTTGTGCATTTTAAAGTGTACATGCAGTTTATGCTTACATAGATTATAGATACGATGTAGTGTTCAATTTGTACATTTAAACGTACTTACGTTATTACAACAAAGTCAAACTCCAAGTTCAATTTGTGTTGATAATTAACGTTATCTCAAATGAAGATTTTGTTTATCTGATTGCAGGTACCTTGTCCCTAAGGATGCACTTCTTGAAGATTTTATTGCTTATGTTCGGATGTGGATCTTTCTAAAGAAAAAAAAAACCTATATTTGTCTTCTTCAAAAACACTGTACCTCCCACGGGTGAGATGCGCATGCAACTCCTTTATTAAAATAGGCATATATATAATAATGGTATCTTCGTTCCCAACTCTCCTTTGTCTTTCAATGAATGTTACAGGTGCCTCTATGGGTGCAATTGATGAGGAAAATATGGGTGAAGATGGATTTCTTCACATGACCTACAGTGGGAATGATACCTTCAGCTACTGTGGGAATGATGTGACCTGTTGATTATTTATAGTTTATCCTCCTGATCTTGAGATCAATGGGCTAGCTTATTATGGTGCTATAAGTATTTATTTTTTTGACATCGCAGGGGATTTTCGTGTATGGAGTGGAAATATTTGAATGATTTGCTAGTAATGTTTATGTGGATGGATGTTGGATCAGGGAATTCCACTGTCATTTGGTTGCCATGGTTGCCTTTTAGTTAAAAGCTTTATCGGGTTTTGCATTGAGATAAAATTGCATCCATATTTGAATATTTCTATTTGGTAGCAAGCCTGGCGGGCTGGGTGATAGCATAAGGCCCTGAAAAAAAAGCATTTTGTGTGAAACTAATGTTTTTTGAATTTTTTGGGTCTTTTTCTTTTTCTTTCATATGAGGGTTTTTTATTTATTTATTTTTTTTATAAACTTAAACTAACCTACTTATCACCTCTGTTTGAAACTTTTTATTATAATTTTTGTTCAAAATGAGGCAAGTGTTAAACAAAAAAGCCCTCATTTTTCATTTTTGCCTAAAGCCTCCAAAAACAATGGACTGGCCTTAAGCCACACCACTCCAAATGATGTGTAATTTATCTCACCATTACCATATAATAAAGCATCAAGCAAGTTTGCTATAAGTAATAAACTACTAAGCCAGAGACAAAGAGAAGTGAATGTGAACAGAAACATTACGAACACTGGGTCATATTTTATCCAAAAACGTTTAAGTTGGTTTACAAAACCAACTATTAAACTAGAGGCAAAGAGAAGTTGTGAATGTGAATAGGGAAATTAAGAACGCTACCAAAGGTCATATCCCACCAAAATTCTTAAGTTATTTGGAAATACTTGAATGGCACGCAATGAATCAGGACCGCCGTAAGAGGAGGAGCTAGAACCATCCTTTAATTACAAATCCGGCAAATAGTAATCTTCCTTTGTTAATCCTCAAGGCTAACATCACAATATACTAATGAGTTGCTGAGATTGACATGAAGAAGTTAGTTGCAAATTCAATTCCCTTGTACTTTGAGTATATCTTGATTTGTTTTATTGCTACCATACCATGGAATATAAATGTTTTAATTCCATACACCTTAGGCTCTCGTCCATAATGGTAATGGACTAAAGTTTATTTTGCCCACCAAGTATTATTTACTATCATCATCATCAACTATCCTAACAACCTCCACTCTTTTACTCAGAGCATCATCACCATAATGGCGAGCATCTATGTCTAACGAAGTTGGAGGAAGGGATTACCATGATATTAGTGAATACAGGTTTATTCATTCAACATTATCAGGATTTTAGTGAATACATTATCAATTTGAAAATTTGGATGACGTTGACGAGAATACTCGTACCATTATTCTATTGGATGATTTTGCATTAACTTGGGAGAAACTCAACGATAAGCTAGATGTGGTAGCCTGCAAAATTGGACTTGTGCACCATGTTGAGGATTTATGTCGAAAGAAGTTGGAGGAGGATAATTTTCGTACCATCACTCTGCTGGATGATTCGACATTGACTTGGGAGAAACTCAACGATGAGCTAGACATGGTAGCCCACAAAATTGGACTTGTGCACCATGTTGATCATCTATATCGAACGGAGTTTGGACTTGTGGACCTTGTCGAGCATCTAAATTGAACAGAGTTGGAGAAGGTGATTACAATTATGATCATGCAACATTATCATTGAGTACAAGTTTGAGTCTTATCAATTTGAAAAATTGGATGACTTTGATGGGCATACTCGTACCATTATCATGTTGGATGATTCAACACTAATTTGAGAGGAATTCAACCATGAGCTAGACGTGGTAGCCCCACAAAATTGGACTTGTGGACCTAGTCGATCATCTAATAGAGTTGGAGGAGGGGATTACATCCTGGATTTTATCAAGTACAAGTTCGAGTATTATCAATTTGAAAACTTGGACTACTTTGTCAAGGATACTCAGTACTATTATTTTGCTAGATGAGAGGAACTCAACAATGAGCTAAACGTGGTATTCATACTAAAAACCCACAATTTAATTTAGAGATCATATGAAACATATATATATATATATATAGTTCCTTTTCTTATGTATGTAATGTGAATGTCAATACATCACACTAACAAACCATGATCATGACACTAAGAGCTAAAAGCTAGACTATATATACTCTTATTTTGGTATGTATAATGTGAATGCCAATACATATTATATGGTACTAATTGCTTATATTCCATTAGTTTCTCCCTTTTTTATCCAAAGACCCACCGTTACGAACTGCATTCTTTCTAACATTCCAAATTGGAAATTACTTATAAGGTCACCTTTCCTTTGGCAAAAACCATGTTGTTTCTTAAAACAAGTTGCATGTTGTCGCTGTCTTTAACATAGGTACCTACCTTGAGGATTAACGATGGAAGATTACTATTTGCCGGATATGTAATGAAAAGATGATGAATTTTGAAAAACCAAAGAATAATTGTTCAAAATCCCGACTCAATTGCATATTTGCTCCACTGGCAAGCAATTCAACATGCAATTCATTACTTGATGTTGTATTATTAGATGTACAGAATAAAGACAATAATAATCATTTGTAACTAGGAAAGGAGAGTTAAGGCATACGACAAACATATACGGAAACATATTATGAATATGAAGCCTAGTCCATGGCAGAGAACTTACAATATAGCTCCCCCACCATCAAAAGAATGGGGTTGTTAGAAAATCTATCTTCATCTTTCCAGCTGCCATTGGGGGTTGATTTCCTGAGCTACAATGGAGAATGGCCCCCAACGGCAATCCCTTTTCCTTAACTGTGTAATCATTCTATATTTTTGGTATTACGTACATTCTCTATATCAACGTAGACATAGCCTGGGCGGGAATGGAAAAATAAAAAAAAAACATCTGCATGTTTTTTCCAGACTATCCGCACATCCTTCATGAGATTGGAAGAATATCAGCCATTCATTGAGAAAACCTCGCATTCCAAATAGCGTTCTTGTCCTCACCGCAACGTTCGTGAACATCCATTATCCTCTCAACAGACCTGCAAATCCCGCTGCATCGCCAATCAAATGAAGCAGCGCAGATGTTGCCTGTCATAGCCTTCCACACACAATCTGCAGAACATAGTACACCATCAACTCTATAGCATGCATGTAAGCAGGAATTTACCTATTTGTCTACTTCTGGAATTCATGCTTTAAATTCCTACTAAAGACAGATGGCAGGCTCTGCCCCATACTGCAGGTGCAACACCCAAGCTAAAGTTATTATATCTCAAATGACCATAGGCAAAACAAATCATTCAAACGAGAACTACTACAGGAGAGTCAAAGATTTTCAAATTACCTGGTGGGGTACCACAACAGAGTCTCCTATCATCCACCTGTTCTACGTCTAAACCAATAAACCAAGATCCCAAGGAAACATCTTCATTGGCATATTTGTGCAGCACATCCCTTCCACAATCAGGAAATAAGAATCAAATCAAAGATTAAGGCATTTTCAAGAAGCACAAAGTCAATAGTATCTAATTCATATTGCAACTCACTCAATAATCAACAGGATTAAAGGCTTTGAGTTTCATTTAGCTCAAAGAATAAAGACAAAACAGTAACTTACTGGTTTATTGATATGTAAGTTGCCAAATCTTTTGAGATAGCATATAACTGTCCTGTAGCATGTCGAAAATACTTGTTTCCCACCTCACCAAATTTCCAATACTCTGGTTCATGATATTTCACTCCCCTATTCCACAATAAAAATACCATGAAAACCATGCTCACCAATATCTAAATATACATCCAACTGAAAAATAATAGACCACTCTGCTTACTTTCGAGCAAGGACTGGACCTGACTTCATGCAACCAATATAGACTCGGGGTTTCAAACGATGTTTAGATAGAATCATTCCAAGTGTTGCTGTGGTAAATGAAACGCAAAGTAAACCAACAGGTTGAAAAAGGGGTAAATTGAAACGTTGAGCTAGTAATGCTGTCAAACAAATATATGGTCTAATGCAAGCCTGAGCAACTTTTGAGAAATGAGCCGATGTGGGCAAAATCTTAAATTTATGTTACCTAAATTTAAATGGACATCATCATCAACTTTGACATAAAATTCAGCATCCCACATAGCAACAGCTGTTGAAAAATAGGTCTTCGTCTTGCCTGATAATTCCAGGTAGCCCTCAACATGGTTCTGCATACGTAGTATGTATATGTATTAGAAACTGCAAAGGCCTGCCAGATATAAGAATAATTCCACTGTAGCAAAAGCAAGAAAAATAATATTTCTGACTAAAATGAACAAAAAAATCACCAGCCTCAACAAGTCTCCATTGACTTGCTCCTCTGCTTCAATAGCTTTATCAAGAATACCACCAGCTGTCGAACTAGTAACGACAGCAAAATCAATAAATGTCCATATTTTAGAAATTCATATTCAATTAGGCCACTGACGCTGGATTGAAGTAGGCATGGCAAAAACCTCACCTGTGACCTATAACAAACCGTATGATGATGCCCTTCTCTTCTTCCAGCTTCTTTCTTTCCTCGCCTGGTAAATATTTTTCAACTAGAAACCATTAATCATAACTCGAATAAGGAACTCAGGTAGCACATTAACATCACAATTAAATTAAACCTAAACGCATAATGCACCTTGTGGCATCCAAGTTGCACGTACGGAATCTCTTCTTTTTCGGCTATTAAAAGCTGTATTGATCCCTATAACCATGAAGTACTTTTTTTTCGAATTTGATTGAAGAGTCTTCAAGTTTCCTGATATAGGAGAGCCATTATGTACAGATGCATGCGTTGCCCTGGAAGCGGCTAATTTCATCTCCAAATTTGAAATTGTTTTATTTAGCTCCCTGCATGCATAGATAGTAATAAGCTTGCATTTTGGTGCCTCAAGACACTAGAGCATTTCTTATAAGAAGCATCAGCATAGCTTACTGAATGACATGATTAGTAGCTTCCCCTGGACTATCATTGGACGTGTGCTTTATAACCTTCAAAGATAGGCAGAAAGTTGGAGAAAATATTTACCAAAAAAACAAAACAAAAAAAATCAGTGACAAAGGATTAATAAAAAGTTAATGGAATAATTAAATGGCAAAATGAAACTAAAAATATCAGTATGAAAGAAAGAAGAGTAAATAAAATAAATCTCTCCCAAAGTTCAGTGAAACTATAGAAACCTCCCTTCTATATTGAGAAATTATATCCCTCCTAATATATTTCTCAAAAACATGATCCGTGATGTAGTGAGACTAAAAAGATTTCCTTTTGCAATTACTCTAGACCAGAATTCTTTATCCGCATGGTATGACTAAATGGCATTATTCTTTGAAGTTTTTGATTCGTGACCAAAGAATTTGTTCAGCTATCAAAACCCGACCTCACTTTCAAAAGCTATTCGTTATGCAACTGAAGACTTGAAGACCTGAGAATAAATACACTTACAAGCTTCTGATTACAACCATCAGGTTCTGAATATATCCTTTCAGCTCCAATTCTAGATGGCCTTGATTCAGGCACCATCCACAACCTGATGAAAAAAAAAAAATGTTGACTATTATGACAAGCATATACTAAATCACTAATTTCAGTTGTGATATCACACATATAATTGACTCAAGCATAAGTAGCACTTAGACCAAACTCCAAACTAAACTAGAAAGAAAAAGTAAAAAACTCAAATTTCTGAAAGTACAATTAGTGATCCCCATTTCAAGGACTTAGAATAATCACCTAAGGAGCCATCATTAGCCACTGAAATACGTAGAATTTAAAACAGTTTCCTCAAGATTCTTCCACAAAAGCCAATTAATTCCGGGACTCCAAACATTTGGCCAAAATGCATAATGTACTTGCAACAAGCTCAACAGTTAAATAGAAATGGCAAATTTAGAGCAAGAGATAGAAACCCATCAAAGAAAATTACCTGTTAGTAAATAACACTCCAGCACAGAAGCTGCAGAAGCATAGCAGAAAAGCCCAGTTCCTTGACATCACATTCCTCATTGTTACCTCTCCTCCCCATCCTTTGCTCTTCAAAGACATTTCGTTCCAGCACTGCTTTTGATACACACAAAGAAATATTTATAATAAAAAAAACTAAAATAAAACAAGTATTTGAAATAGAATCCAATTGAAAAACCCAGAAAAGAAAGAAAAGAAAAAAGAGTTCTTTGGAGTCTGGAAGACAAAGGATACCTTCTTGATGAGTCAGTGCTTGACACACACTCTCGCTCTCTCTTACAGAGACCAGAGAGGTGCACTGAGGAAGACCCACTAACTGCCCTCTCTTATATTCTAAATTACTGAACCGTCCCTCCCTTTGGCAAAAACGCTTCTCACCATAACAACAACAGTAACAGCTTCATTTTCTCATGCGGGCTGAAGTCTGTTGAAACGGCACGTTGTCTCAACGCATAAAATTTAGAATGAGGAAACCCGTTTAATATACAACTGTTTGATTATTATTGTCGGTGCCCTTTATTCATTAAGGCTGTTTCGTTTCGAGTCAATTAAGGAAACACATGTAACTGATAATCGTTTTTTAGCTTTTCTTTTTAGTATGATTTATTTCTTTCTTTCTTTAATTTGGAATTTAATTGAATTTGCAAGAGAAAAGAGATCCAATGGGCCCATTGATGCATATTGAAGACTTGGGGTCCAATATGGCCCCTTGATCCCAAACACAGCCCAACATGAAAAAATAGCAAGCAATGTTTTTTTATTTATTTATCAAAGTGAGATAACTTCACGAATTATTAGGGTCAAAAAGTGAAAATCCAAAAGTGGCCTTGTTGTTTTTGTATTTTAGTAGGGTCAAAAGGACATTATCTATTTACCCTTATCACGAATTATGGGAGGCAAAATAAGAGGAGGCCGGTCCATGTATGTAACATTTAAATGATGTTCATAAAGATGTGTTAGGTTATGGGTGTGTGTGTGACGTGTCGGCAAAAGGGGAATAGCCAGCAATTTATTTTATTTTCAGACACTTTATTTATTTATTTTTTTTGTGGTCTGAATATTCCACAGAAACTAGAATCTGTTCAAGAAGGTGGAGCAAGGCGATTTTATTCTTGAATTTCGTACATTATTGGTGGCCCCTTATTCGGATAAAAAAGAATATTGATCATACAAGATTAAAGGTTAAACGAGATAATTATACATAAATTAAGTTCATGACTGAGTTGTATCAATTAGGCATGCTAGACATTCTCTAGATAACGGTTTTAACCGTTATTTTGTTCTCACCTTTATCATGAACAAAGGCCTAAGATAAACTTATAATGAATTTCAATTCATCCTTCATTAAAACATGCATGTGAGTCATATGACCCCTTCAACACCCTTTTTAATTTCATGTGGCTCTTTAATTACTCAAGTCTAGGATAGCAAATTCTTCTAGACCTCAACCACATTGGCAATGGCAATGGCAGTTTAAACTTAGCAAATGGGGTGAGAACTTGTCCATTTCATGATGTAACATGTTTAGCATTCATTTACTAGTTAAATAATTAAACAAATGTTCGGCCAAAACTAAAGAAAAATAATAATGCATGAGGAAGAAGAGGACAAGAAGTGCAAAACTAGAATGAAAAGCTCTTCGGCTAATTCAAGTCACCGGATAAGTTTTAGGGTATCCATGTTCGTCATGATGCTACTTGTATGGCTCTCTTTTTACTTTTTCAGTTGATCTAATATTCTATTATCACTTGTTCTAAACAAGAATGAAAAACTTTACTATATTAAAATAATGCTAAATTTTAACTAAGCAACAGCTGAAAGCAGATAGGGTGCATGAAGATTTACCAACTCCTTTGCAAATGCCCATCATTCACCTAAATTAAACACCAAATGTTACTTGGCTTGGCTACCATACAAAATCTCAGAGGCTGCCAATGGTTTTTCAACTTTTTCCATCTTCTTTTTTTACTGGAAAAAATCATACCACTAAAAGGGCACCTCTGTTTTCTTTTAGCTTGGGACTTTCTATGTAAAAGTTTCAGTGGACCCCCAGCCAGCACACTACATACTATATTTGCTAAGAAGAATTAAACAAAGCAAAATGAAAAAAGATTACATGGGACCCTCATGGCTAACAATGATTTTGATGGTAAATTGAAATTGAAATAGAATAATGGTGGACTGATGAGATGAAGGGAATTAATTACTCTAAGAAACCAGTTTTTGTCAAAATAGCATTTCTTACTTTGCTGAGGTCTCTTCCTTTGAGTGTTCTTCCAATCCCTTCACACACAGAGAAAGATGAAATCTGGCTTCTTGCTAGCTTTCTAGCTACCCATTCATGTGGAGGGACCATACCATCATCATCATAACCATCACCATCATTATTATCATCATCATCACTGACACCATGATCATGATGATGCCCCCCATCCTCATAAGCAACATGACCACCATTGACACCATACCCATCATCATCATCATGAACCCAAGAACCAATCTTGGCACTCTTGCCATAAATTTTTGACCAATCAGGGATGTTCTGAGGAGCTGATTTTTGGACCACCTTGGGTTCATGGGAGGTTGGAGTATTAGCAGCAGCAGCCCTTGGGATAATTCTTGGAGCAGTAGGGAGGCGCCATGCAGAGGAAGAAGCAGAGGAGCTGTCCTTGTTAGACTTCCTCATCATCTTGGGACTCGAATTTTCCCTCTCATTATTCCCAACACCCCACACATCTTCTTCTTCAAAATCTTCATTGTTTCTCATTGACCCCCCACCAAAGCCACTGCTTTTGCTCATCATACCCCTCCAATCTGCCATTGGGAGTTGCTCTGAAGCATAAAAAAGTTGAAGTACTTTGAGCAAAAAGCCAACCACACCACAGAGAAAAAGAGACTCAGAGCAAAAATAGACCTCTGCTTTGAGTATAAATAAGAGGAGAATAATTTACATTTGGTTGGTAATGAGATAAAATTTTATTTATTTTTCTTGGGAAGCAAAAAGCAGAAAGGTGCAATAGAGAATAATATCAGGAATCTACCTTCAAAAGGAAACAAGGGGTTTTCAAAGATTTCAGAGGGTATTGAAATGTTCACAGCATCAAAAACCAACCAGGAGAGAGGAGAAGCTTGTGACTGTGAGAGCACTTTCCCCTGGCCCTGGCCTGTTAAATCCCTCCAAAAAAAGATCACAAATTTCAATGAGCCAGCAGCACACTGCAGGATACATACAGATTACAGAGGAAGAAAAAGACAACAAAAACGATATATGAAAGAAATAAGTTTTTACTTTTATGGGATAGCTTAGCTGCTCTACTATCAGGTACTGCTACAGTGCTACAGTGCTACAGAAAAGAAAAGGCAAAAGAAAATGATGATTAGAATCTCAGTTCCCTTCCCGGACTACTTTCTAACTTACCTGAAAATGGTCAGTGTGTGTGAGGTTGGTTTATCAGAAAACACCAAAGGCACACAGAAAGGAGTAACCAGAACTAGAAAAAGATAGAAATTTGGGGTCAAAATAGGAACATAGGAGGTGTATTGAGCGAACCCAGAAACCAGCTTATCATGATCAGGGCATTTATACCATCTATGGGAAAAGAGTCAGTAGTGAGAGACTTCTTGATATGAGGTTATATATATATGTATGCAAATATATATTGTTGTTGTTGATGTTGGTGTGTGCATTTTTTAATGCATGATGGGAAAAGTATAGATTACATATATATAATAATATATTATTTAGAGCTTCTGAAAAGCCTGGGTGTTGATTGGGAAAGGTGGAGAAGAAGGATTGGTCCGTCTGAAACCAAAAACCTCACTGATTTCCGTAACCTTATCCACAACTTACTCGCTAGAACAACTCAGCTCATCATCCGGCGTTACAACAGAGGAAAAGCTCGAAAGTGTGAAGCAACTTTTTTAAGGATGCATAGGATGGGGTGCTTAACAAGTAAAAGCACTTAAAAGCACTTGGTTGACTGCGACTCTACTTTTCTATATCTCTCACTTCTTACTTCTTTCTTCAATGCTTCCTGGGTTTTTGGGGATTATTGCAAAGAGAGAAAGAGAGAGAGTAAGAAAGTGAATTTGGGAGCAAACAAAGGCACTCTGGTTGCCAAGGTGAACGGTCTTCTCAAACTCAGATATGTAAGATCTGTTGGACAATGACCAAAGGGAAGTGTTTGGGTCAATTGCCTCCTCTTTTATCTCTCTCTCTCTCTCTCTCTCTCATCAATTCCAACATGGTTTCATTTCATGCTTAGAGTTGCAATCACATCCTTCATATGTGTACATCTGACTTTGCAACTTTACCCCTCGTCACAGGCCTCATCATGTTTCAGTGCAGTCACTAGTATAGAGAGAGAGGTATCTTTGGTTGCTGATCAGGGGTCGCCACAAACAACAAACAAAATTTGTGGCTCTTGATGCTTCGCAATTTTGCCAAGCTACCCAAAAAGTTAAACTTAATGGGGGTAAAAAGCTAAAAAGTTTCTACCAACTTTCACAGGTCTTGTTATTTCTCACCAATTTCAAAAGTTATTGCATGCTTTTGTGTGATTCAGCTGCTTCTCATATACGACCAAAAAAGAAAGAAAGATGCTTCTCATATGAGCTAGGCCTTCTTGGCCAATGCAAATCCTTACTCTGCTGGCAAGTTTATTTACCAAAAATGAATCCTTGCTGTTTTTTTTTCCTTCATGGTCTGTATATGACAGTTCAATACAAGTTTTTCGAGCAGAGGAAAGCTAAGGAAAGTCGTCATGTGAGATCGTCAATGGACGTTAGCCCACAATAGGATCCACACTCTTCGACGATTGATAGTCACCCGCGTATGCCATGTCTTGTATGAGATCATATCCCTAGCAAAACTTTTTTCTCCCATTACTTCTTTTGTTACTTTCTTGCTCAAGTTTGTTGAGAAGGGCGTCATTAACTATGTCTCAACTGAAAATGATTCTTTCTTTTGAGCTAGAAAATGATTCTTTCTTTTGAGCTGGAAATTCATTATAAAATATTGGAAAGTATTCTATGAACATGTTCAAGAGCCTCCTTAAACAGACAAGTATAATGACAATGAGACGTAGTGGATGGTGGCTCTTAAGAAGCGGTGGTTGGTGGCTCTTAACGTTTCATTAGTGTAATCGAACTAATTAGTTTTTCTTTCATCCGAAGTCAAGTTTTCTTGATTCTTTCCTACAATTATAAAGCTATAATTCATGTTCCTGAATTAGCAAACACAAGCAATTAACGTATTGTACGTAAGCTTTTGGTCCATTGAATGGCCTAGGATATAGA